TAAAATTCAGCTTTGAAATCACAGGAATAAATTACATTTTAAAATATATTCAAATAGAAAGCAGTTATTTTAAATAGTAAAAATATTTCACAATATTACTGATTACTGATGCAGGCTTGGTGAGCAGAAGAGAATTCTTTAAAAAACATTTAAAATCTTGCTGTCCAAAAACTTTTGACTGGTAGTGTATATATGTACTGTATGTATATTAACAATGTCTAATTAAATCATATATATTCTTTAGAATTTTAAATTATAATTTAAATAAACTTATCTTTCTATAGAAAATGTACAGCAACCACTGAATGCTTATTTCTATTATGTTTAACTATGGTTTATTAACCATTATACACTGTGTTAAAGGTTGTACCTGGGAGTTTTCAGCCATGGTGGGCTACATTAAACGCACATTCCCACAAACTCAACTCATCGTGGTGGGCTTCAGTCTGGGAGGGAACATCGCCTGCAAGTACCTGGGTGAGAATCCAGCCAATCAGGAGCGAGTGCTGTGCTGTGTCAGCGTCTGCCAAGGATATAGTGCTTTGAGGTGAGAAAGTATTTTTAACTTATGTACTTAATATACCATTTTAAATATGTAATTTTGACAACTTGGTTTTCTGTTTTATTTGTTTGTCTTTAGGGCTCAGGAGACATTTCTACAGTGGGATCAGTGCAGGAGACTATACAACTTCCTCATGGCGGACAACATGAAAAAAATAATTCTATCTCACAGGTAAGTCCTTATTCATGTGAAATATCTGACTCTGATTGATCAATGATAATGGCCACTAAACTGTATGATTGACACTTGTTCCTGGCAACCAATTTCTTTATATCCCTAATTATCCCTTGTGAAACTGAGTCAAGTAAATCTGTCCTGTAGGGCAAGTTTATTTGGTATGAGCTCTAGCAATATGGAGGCTGCCGACCTCAGCCGCCTGTATACAGCCACTTCACTCATGCAGATTGATGACAACATTATGAGGTACTTTAAAAGCTTTCATAAGACACTTCTGACTGCATTTTATGTTCCCATAATGATTCTTTTCAAAATGTATGTCTCTATTAGGAAGTTTCATGGACACAACTCCCTAAAGGAGTACTATGAGAAGGAAAGCTGTGTGCATTATATTCACAATGTAAGTAACATTGTTGAAAGCCAGTTATATTAAGTCATATTGTTCTTTTGAAAACCATAATCTTATGTCTCTCATATCAGATCAGCGTTCCTCTCCTCTTGATGAACTCTTCAGATGATCCATTAGTCCACCAGTCACTGCTGACGATACCTCGCACACTAGCAGGTATTTATATATTAGATTTTTTCTATTCTGTCTAATTCTTTCCATTTTTATCCATCTTTAGCAAGAAGAGTTGATGGATGTGTCAAATGGCTTTTAGCAAGCAAAAAGAAGCCATTAAACATAAAAGACCTACCAAAGGAGTGTAAAAAAAAAAGGTCACTTCGACACGTATGGCCTAATAGTGCTTTTAGGCGCCCATTAGAGCTCTCAGCACTGCCGTGTTTCTAAGATCCTGCATTGGACACCTGTGCTGAATTTTTCAGTGCCATCTGATCTTTCCTCTGTGATTATTTATCAGATTACTGCCGTCAGCTTCTTCCTTCAGCCTCAGGTGAAAGATCCAACAGAGAACCCCTATTAACAAGCCTAACTGCCTCGCACTAAGGAAATATGGGACACCTAATCTTCTTGAGCTTCAACAGAACTTTAAAGTTGATGCATTTTTAAAGAGGCCACAACAGAAGACTTTGCAGCCTTGCATATGAATTTGTATGGATTATTTAGTCTTCTGAGTATATGTCTAATTGATATTTAATGCTGTTAATTAATAATAATAATAAGGTGCATTTATAATAGGATTGATAACCAATTCTTATTCTGGATCAGTTAACAATAAAATAGGGCGATATAAATACCGTTTTAAAGTACTTTGACAATTTCCTGCACTACAGTAGCACCACAATCTGAATCTGAGTCTCATGAACCGCTTTTTTTAGTGAATCAAAAGCATATTCCTCTACCAGTGTAGTCTGATTCCTGAACAAATGCATCTCATAAATCAGTTATTTTTTGTGAATTATAAGCATATTTCGCAACCAGTGTAGTCAGATTCCTGAACAAATGCTTCTTGTGAATCGGTTCTTTTTAGTGAATCAAAGGCATATTGCAAAGTAGTCTGATTTCTGAACGAATGCTTCTTGTGAGTCGCTTCTTTTTAGTGAATCAACATACATAACGACCAGTGTAGTTCGACTTCTGAATGAATGACTGAGTCAGTTCTTAGTTGTGAAAAACGTCTTGGTTATGTATGTAACCCTCGTTCCCTGAAGGAGGGAATGGAGACGTCACATCGGTATTGACCGGCGAATTGGGATCTCGCTTAGAGAGACCAATCCACTTCAAGTGTA